AAGAGGAGGTGGAGGACGCCATTGTAGGGTTTGGGTTTTAGGTTTTAGTTTTTTGGCTTTAGGGTTTAGGGCTTAGGGCTTAGGGCTTAGGGCTTAGGGCTTAGGGTTTAGCGTTTAGGGTGTTTAGGGTTTAGGGTTCAGCCCTTTCGGTTTTTGGACTTTGCTACTTTGTTTTATGGCTTTGGGTATTTCCTAGCGTTTCGGGCTTTAGGGTCTCGGCTTTGGTGCTTTAGGGCTTAGTAACTGGGCTTGGCTTAACAATGCGGCGGCATAGGGTTCAGGGTTTAGGGTTATTGCCCGAGGGGTGGGGGGGGTGGGGGGGGGGAGGGCTTACAACTGGCAGGACGACCTTGAGAGCTTGCCAGAGCTATACCTGCTGTCACTTAGGCCACCCTACCAAGCTTGGGCGACTTCGGCCCTAAACCCATAACCCTAAACCTTAAACCAGAAAACCTAAACCCTGGGAGTTTGGTGGCTTGAGGGGTTTGAGGGTTTCATGCCTTCTCAAACTCAGTGCTGAGAGTTTCAAGGATTCAAGAGGAGCAGCCCCCACAAGCAGTTCAAAAGAAAGCCTGCGGCTAATCCCCCCCCCTCCCCTCCCTCTCGCCCCGCCCTAAGGCCCTAAGTCTTGCACTTTATTGATGCGCTTCATTGCACTTTGCGGAAGCTCACATGAACTCTACATCCTAAACCTTAAACCTCAAACCCCAAACTAAACCCCAAACCCCAAACCCTAAACGCTGAACCCGGAATAAACAGGTCCTCAGCCGCTTTCGGCATCCGAACCTCGTCATCCTCATGGGCTTCGCGCGAAAGGGGCCACTTGCCATGGGATGCCCAGGGTTTCCCGAGTGTCTAGGGTTTAGGGTTTAGGGTTTAGGGTTTAGGGTTTAGGGTTTAGCCCGGCAACCCTAAATCCTGTGAGCCCTAAACCCTGAACCTAGGTTCGACTTCCGAGTTTCGTGCTGGGGGTCTAGAGAGCGTAGGGGGTTTAGGGTTTAGGGTTGCTGTGCAGAGAGAGTCAGTGTGTCAGCGTTCAACGCATAGGGTTTGGGGGCCTTTCTTTAGGGTTTAGGGTACCCTCAAACCCTAAGGCTAGTGAAATGGGCCCTTGGCATGGTCCCTGGCCTCCTTTAGACATTCTGAAGTATGGGCCCTTGGGTTGTGTAGGGCTATTAGGGGTATATAAGGGGTCCCCTTTGAAGGGCCTGACTAAGGGACCATGCAACGACCTTAAGATCAAAGGGACCTTTGCTGTGAGGCCTGTTCCGGCACTGGCGCCACCCCAGGGGTGGTGGTCGGACAGAAGCCAGTCGCACACCGAGGACCGAGGTCAGACGCACACCAGCGCAAGAGAAGCGTCCTGACAACTCTAACTCCGCCTGGGCACAGTAGAGGAAGAGTCAGGGCCCCGCACCGCCGGGAGAGGGCAAACGCATCAAGTTGGATCCGGCAATCCTCGCTTTGGATCTTACGGAGATTCCAACCTCGGACTGCGAGTTGTGCAAGCAGAGGGTCCGTCCCGGGAAAAGGGAGCGAAAGGCCCTTAAAAGGCCGAGTAGCAAGGGGCTTCGGCGCCACCTGGGGGGGCCCTCGTGCCTCCTCGGAGCCCACAGAGAGAAGGGCACCTTCATCCTCATCGGAGGTCGCCCGACCCCTTGTAACACTGTTAACCCTGAACTTAGGATGTTCCCCCTCATACTAGCAGTCCTTGCTTGGGATTGTAATCGCGGGTAGTATTGTTTTTGTGAAGGATTGTTAGTTCAAGGGGGGAACATCCGAACCGTAAACCCTAAACCCCTAAACCGAATTTAGAACAGCACCCCAAGCGCTCCGTCCTAAAGTCCTACACCCTAAAGCCCTAAACCCTTGAAGGGTAGGTCCTTTGCTTGGATGGCCAATGTTTCTCGGCTTTCTTGTGGCTGGCTCTTAGGACTTTAACTTTTTTGGTTTTGTAGAAACTACAATCAGGGAGCCTAAACGTTAAACTTTTAGGAGGGGTTCAGAAGTCAGCCAAGCGTTTTTGTGTGTGTGTGTGTGTGCTACAACAAGCACAACTCTGGGACCCGAAAGGGATCTACAATTCGCGGAGCAGGCAAGCCCTAAATCCTATAGGTTTGGGGTTTAGGGCTCAGGGATCCTCAGCCCCAAACCCTAAACCCTAAATCCTAAACCCTACACCCTAAACCCCATACCCTAAACCCTAAACCCTAAACCCTAAACCCTAAACCCTAAACCCTAAACCCTAAACCCTAATCACACTTCAGGGGGGACCCACGAACGCTTCATGTGCAGGCGCGAGCGCTACCTCGTCTACGAACTTTTGCCTGGCGGTGACGTCAACTCGAGGTTGAACAAAGACCTGAGGCCGAGTGTTTACGGGTAGGGTTTAGGGTTTAGGGTTTAGGGTTTAGGGCTTAGGGCTTAGGGCTTAGGGATTAGGGCTCAGGGCTCAGGGCTTAGGGTTTAGGGTTTAGGGTTTAGGGTTTAGGAGGTTAAACAAAGACATGAGGCAGGTTTTTGGGGGCTTTTGGGGATTTTGTGACGGTTTTTTTGGCTGTTGTTTTGGGGCCTTTGAGGCTTTTCAGGGCTTTTGGGCTTTGGCGGCTTCCAGATGCTTTTGGGGCTGTGAGGGTTTTCAGGGTTTAGGGTTTAGGGTTTAGGGTTGGCTTTTAGGGCTTTTGGGTTTTTTGGGGGGCTTTTCGGTAAAATCCCGCGGCTGTTTTGGGATGCGTTCATTTGTGAGCTTCCACCCACCCCCCCGGCCCCCACCCTGAACCCGAAACTCGAAACCCTAAACCCTAAACCCCAAACCCTAGACCCTTTAGGGTCTAAACCCTAAACCCTAAATCCTAGACCCTAAACCCTAAGCCTTACCCCCGCCTCCCCCCAAGGAGCGTAAGCCCTAAACCCTAAACCCTATATAAACGCTAAACCCTAAACCCTAAACCCTAAACCCGCATATGTGCAGTTTCACCTGGGAGAAGCGACTGAACGTCGTGCTGGACTGCGCTTCTCGGCTGCTCAAGATTTAGGGTTTAGGGTTTAGGGTTTTAGGGTTTAGGGTGTAG